CAAAGTAGATAAAAGACAATTGAACTCTTCATACTATGCATAATGCATGTGACTGGCCCCAAAACCCTAATTCCTTGGCAGACCATCTATGCCCCATGTACCAGAATGAAAGCCGTAGGGTTCCATACCAAAGTAATTAGGGTAGGTTGACGTGGGGTAGGAATAGGTTGTAGGTGTCAGCACTAATTGAATTGTCCTTTGCGAGAGACTCTCCTAATAATTGAATCATACTCATCTTCATTATTTGACATGAGAAAAAATATTGAAAAATTAAAGTATATTGACACTTGTATCCTTAAATTTATAATAAAACCACATTAAAAAACTTAGTTTAGTATGTCTTGATATGAACATGGATCATCTCCTATATTGGAGGGTCCAGTACAGGTTGAGATTGTAACATGTGGTCTTTCACATTTTTTAATGGTATAGATTTGAAATTATTTTTAATTAAAAAATATTTTTTAATCTTTAAAACAATCTGAGCCTCATATATCTCAGCCCCTCTTGATATGTTAAAGCATTAATTTATTTAAACAATGTTGTAAGAGCACTTATAAACATTCTCCTTTCTACCTTCATGATATAATACACATGCATGCACATCATATACAACTCTTCCTAGTTCCCATAATTGTCAATTATAATTGTAGATATAGTTTTATTTTCTCTTTGTTAATTACTTTCTTTTCTTCTTCCTTTCTCATTTTCAAAATTAAAGGAGTCTAGAGCGTACGGTAGTTTTGGTCCATTCTTGGCTTCAAACATTCAATAAAAAAGATATAAGAGGAGTGGTTAGCTATAGGGACCACGAAACAAATTATTTAAAATGGCATAATTACTCCTCTTAGAAAAAGGAAAATGGGGGAACATCAATTCATAAACAAATTCGTACATGTGATGTCAACAAACATCTAATATCTTTAGAATTAGATTATTGTATATATGTTTTTTAGAAAAATTAACACACCTTGGCTCCTTCAATTATATATAATCCCACGTTTTGTAATCTACATATATTAAAGACAATTGAATTTTTAGATTTGTTATGTCAAATTGATAGGCACAAATTTAATTGACCATCACTTTCCTTTTTATATTTCAAAAAGGTGAAGGAAATGGTTGCCACATTCCCAAAAGTGGAGCTGGTTGGTTATCCATCTTGCTCATGAAATTATTTACCATGATTAGAATATTGACCTTTCACCTTGCATAAATATCTATGCATAAATATCTACGGTAAAGGTTTTTATGACTAGATCAACCTAGCGAATCAAGATCATTTCCGGTACAATGTCAGATTCTTATATTTTTTCCTATTGTCTATAATTTACTTATCTCTTATTAATGAAGAAGATTCTAATTCAAAAAACTTAGTGTAAGTATTAGGCATCATTTTTATTTTAATGTTGGATTTGAAGACAGATGAATTATAGCCAATATTTCTCATGGGTATAATTGAAATTAACACAATAAAGTGAGTGAAAAGGCATCTACATCAAGTTTTGATTAGGAAAATACTTAATGGTGTTTAGTATTGGAATATGGGAATGAAGTTTAACAATTTTCTAATATTATTTTATTAAAAAATAAATAAATTCTGAAATATTCAAATTTATTTTGTGTCAATGATAAGCATTTGTACCCAATACTAGACAATACCTTTATTTGTTTTTAAACCATTTTTCCCTTGAACTATATGTTACCAGGTCCCTAATTAATCTTCATTTAAACACATAATGGAAATTAAACGTGTATACTTATTACATGTCACAATCTCTATCTAGTAATTAAACTTTCAATACTTGAGAGGATCTTTCTGTATACTTGTAACATTCTTTATGCTAGGTGATAAAGCAACCTTGCTTTAATAAACTATTGGAGTGTGCTAATTATTAGAATATTGAGTTAACTAAGAGGGTATGTTAAGAAATATAATGAATGGGGTGACAAACAAAATGTTGCTTTAAATGTGTATGGATGTTCGGTAGCCATTAAAGATGTTCTAAGGCTTTGTTTTGACCAAATAGAATTAGGGAGAGCTTCTCCAATGCTATGCTAAGAGGTGTATCATAATTAAATTCTTAGCATATATGCTACTTAATTAGCATATGATGGTTGGAGATAATTCAAAAAGTATGTCAAAATTAGCTTGTATACTAATTAAGGGGAGGGAAAACATGTCAAAAGGTGGAGGAATCAAATATTGTAATTGATATGTGGTGACTCGTTTTAATTAGTATATGGGAAAATATATATGCTACTTAATAGTGTACTAATAAGTTATCTAAGAAAGTACACTTAAGAAACTAATGACTTAATAAATAAAAAGCATCCTTATACATAAATTAAGCATGTGCTAAGACTTGGAGATGCTCTAATGCTAAATTCATGTAGACAATTTTAAAAATATTAAAGTGAGACCAATGTGTTTTTATAGTTTACATAGAAACTTATCTGTGCAAAATGTTAAGGTTTCATCTCAAAACCAATTGACAATGAAATGGGTAGTTCAACATGTATTTAAATCATTTCCGAGACAATGGGGTAGGCAATGTGAGACTTACTTCCCAACATGCCCCATCCACATAAGTCTGTCGGATCAAGCGAATGGTTACATTTGACCCATAACTAAAGAACATTTTTTGCTCCATAACAACCGGAAAGAAGTTGGGTTCTGACTCTGATATCATGTTAATGTTCCATCTCAAAACAAATTGGCAATGAGAGGAGTAACCTAACATGTATTTAAACTATTCCCGAGACAATGAAGCAAACTTATTTTCTTATCTCCTCCCGCTTGGATATTTAACTGAATAAAATTCACATTCAATACACTATTAAATAAAATTAAATATTAACTTTGCTTCTTATTTGTTTTTTACGGATTAAGCTCCATACTTTAAAATTTAAATACAATTTCACTTAAAAGATGTCTTATATTATTTTACAGTTGAGAGAACACATAAGTGGGTTAATTGTTTATAGGGTCTAGCAAGCACCATAAATGGGACGACAAATGTGGTGAATGGTACGTTTTATTGCTTGATTAGTGTTGACAAGATCTAGCACAATGCATCATAATCTGAGCCCTCAGCTCATAGATACAACCACAAATTTGATACCTATGGATTGGCTGGAACCTATAATGAATTCATATATTGATTGAGTATGTGCTGTTTAAAGACATTATAAGTAGATAGACTCATAAGCATAGTGTTTTAATGTTTTTGTTCAATATATTATATTAGATCTTCTTCTTAAATTTTTATATTATTTGACCCATTATTCATAAATTTTCCTGGTTGGGCTCCCCAATTTTCTAGCTAACAATTTCCACCCTTATATTTTGCGGATTTGCATGTGTGCCTAGTCTTTCTTGTACAAATGATTATACTTATCGATTGTTTCCTCTAAACCATAGGAAGATCACGCAAGACATGAAAATTATACTCAAATAATTAAGAGCTTCAGGAAAAAAAAATCTCATAACTCTGCGATAGATTTTATTTGTAGAAGCCAGAAGACACTTTCCCTTGATGACTTACGACATTGAAATATTAATGTTGGCACGAAGATAAATGTGGTCCTCAAACTTTATGTATTATAGGTACATTAGATAAAGCATGCATGTATAATGATGCCATTTGTTCAAGAAAATTAATTTCCACGACCATGTGAGAAAGATTTGTATGAGATATGAAGAAAGAAAATAATAGATATTCAAAGTTCTAGACAGCTAAATTAACCACTTATTGGTGCCTATGCATGTGCAAATTTACTGGGTTGGATTGCAAAGGAAACAAATGCTCCTCTTTTTGCTACCCATTATGCACTTGTCTGTTTATTAAGAGGAAGGGATCTATAAAAAATTATTCCTTACTTTTAATGATTAATTAACTTATTTAATTTCTATTCCATAAGTCAATTTCTTTCCTGCAATAGGTAAATTCACTTTTTAGCTTATAGCTTAAGTTGCTCCACCAAAAAACTGAATGATTAAGTTAATGAAGAAAATATTTATATACACTTAATTGACGATAGATGAGCAAGATGGTTAAGCGCTGGCACTAAAACTTACTAGAAATGGAACATGATATTAAGTACTTTTTAAATAAAGTTGGGTAATACATTATAAGGTCATGAGCATTATTATAATGTAATTTAATAATCAATCTATTATATATTCAAAGCATCTTTGACCAGGATACCAATACTTTGATACTAGTCTGGTCATGATATAATTAATTCTTTTAATTTGTGATTATATATATAAATTATATAATACTCTATCATAAAAATTTGTCAGGATTTAATATGTATATAATAACAGTATAACTACTTTTTAAATTGTCGATATATCATCAATTATTCATATTTTAATCATAATTGACTCTCAAATAATAAAAACTATACAGTTACCATGTATATATTAAACTCAATTTATAATGTATAGCTAGTGGAATAATATGATTATATGGATTGTCATGTAGGAGTGGGAACAAGGATTGGACCACAAACCTTCATTTAAGTAAAGAAATTAAAAAAGAAGTATATATAAATTAATGGTAGCCAACTCTAAGAATTTCCAATAATGGATATCTGACTCATTGTCGGGTAAAATTTCTTCCCGTGTGTCTGGATTGTTAGGGAATATGGCCTACATCTGAATAAATACCATAATTTTGTATGAAACATTTTCTGATGATTCTCCAAATCAAAATAAATATAATCAATTTACTGAAAATTTGAAATGAAAAAAAAGTGATGGTGTCAAGACTAAAGATATCCTTTTTTTTTGTTTTTGAAAATTGATCCAAATATTTAATATAATAATATATAACTCTTCAACACAAACAACAATCATCTGCATTAATGTAGGGACACTTACATGTGTTTCCTTTTGTTTTTAATGACAAAATTATAATTTCATTATAACTAGAAGAATAAATATGTCATGTATTTGTCTCTCCGGATAATAAGTTCTTCAACACCTTTCACTAATTATATATAAGTGAAGTCCATTGAAAATCTCTCTCATTCAATGCGTCAACCTAGAGCCATAGAGAGGGTAGGAGAGAAGGGCTACACTGTTGAGCCTTGAAGCATTAGGAATGTCAAGTTTGGTTATTATTCCCACTGCATCTGAAGGAAGCATCCAAAGGGATCGCATTGATCCTAAAACTTTAGTGTTAAATTTCTATTTACCTTCACAAAATATTTGGGATCATGCTATCCCTTTGGATTTCTCCTTTGGTGGCTTCTATCATGATAACAACATATACTTCACCATTCACCTCTTCACATAGAAACTGCATTCAATAGCAGAAAGAGATCTTTACATATAATTCATATTTCAAATCTGAATAATTCTCAAAGAATATATCAAGTTCTTCAGTTCTGGATCCCACCAAGGTAAATTATTCTTGATTAAAGTTTTAATTATCTCATTATGTCTTTCTACTTTTCATCCTATGGTTGTTACTTATTAGTTGTTACATATTTAATAACCAAAGTAGTTTTTCATGTATGTCAGCATATGTTAGTACATGTTTCAGATATCAGAATGAGATCGGCATCTATATAGTAGAGTTGGGCACCAATGTGCCTTAAAATCACAAGTCACCTTTACAATTTGAAGCAGATTTGGAAACCCTTTTCATTGTTTCTATTATGTACCCTTTAAGTTTGTGTTTTGATATATATGATCCTTGAAGTTTGGGTAGTTGTGTAGAAAAAAGGTAACATCTATTTTGTGAGGAAATAAGGTACATTGTTAAAGCTGAACTTCCCAACTATTGGATTATAAACTATGAGATTATTTCCTCGTATTTTCTTTCAGTAAATATCTCATCACAATATAAAAGTATTTCCTTTTTAAATATCCGAGTAAAAAAGATTATCTTAAAATTATTCTTCAACAAAAATTTCAACTCATGATGATGAAGTATGCATATAGTTGACTATTGAAATAATATAATTTTTGCGGTTATCCCAAACACAATACCTTAAGTGGTGTGTGATATAATATATATATTGAGATTAAAACACCTTTAGTGAAACAAGACTTTGCAGGTATCTTTTATATATCTATGAATAATTAAGAAACATTTATACTTCAGTAAGTGACTTTCTTTTTATTTTAATCAAATAGAGAGTAATTGTTCACGTGCTTAGAAAAAGAATGAAACAGCTAAAAAAAGCACAACTAAATACAATAAAAAAGTGGAAACAAGATAATTAGTAATGTGTACTAGGAATAAATCAGTACCCGCTCATTCATGAGAAGACAATAATTAAAAAGTCATTTATTCCCCATTGGAAACTTTTTGATCATTTCATATATCAACAAATTGATTTTACCTTTTGATAAAGCATCTTTAATTTTTGTTCCATTGAAAATGATATTTCTGGGCACAGTTCAGTTTTCATGTGTGGACATGTTCTTATGCTAAACCAACCAGACAGCAGTGTTCCACTGCTATATGAGTGGTTGTATAGACCTTATTGTTACACACAAGAACATCACATCATTTGTGGTGGCCCTGATTCAATTGTACTCCAAAAACACATGCTTTTGTGGACTTTAATTAGAATCCAAGGTAGTGAAAGTTGTTCGTTATAAGCAGTTCAAAAACTCATTTTTTACTTCTCATTCTTTAGTAAATAAACCTAGTAGAGTAGGACTCCTCTCCATTAATGAAGAGACAAATGAATTTTTTATGTATATTGTAAGGATAAATATGTAATATTCTTTTAAATAAAAAGGACAAAAGTGATATTACATCTTCCATTTTCTTTGATTTTTTTGGTACTGTCTCTCCATTAATGGTAGAGGCAAGTGTCTATATAAATATTTGGAATTCTTTCATTGTAACTTCATATATTTAAAATTTGAGAATAATGTATCTCCTGATATAAAGAGATGAGTTATCTCCTCCGACCACTAAAATCGTGACATGTATACCATTTTATCATTTTCTACAAAAATATTTCTTAGACCGAACAAAACAATATTTCACTAAAATCAACCCATTTTTTACTTATTTCACGTTCTCAGCAATCAAGTAAGAAGCAATAGTAAAACAAATTGCGAATTTACATAAGGAAATTTGACAGTTTATAATTTTAATTAATAAAAAATAAATAAAACCAACCAACTAATGTCAGAATTGGAAACAGTGAACATCATTTTGCGACAGTGACTAACATCATTGGATCAATATCTCAAAAAGAGAAAACAATGAATATTTCTACAATAGAACTTGTCAAACTCTCCAACATAAGAGCATCTTCTTGAATAATCTGATGAGAACTCTTGAACCTGAAAACCAATATGAAACTGAAAGAGTTTTACATGTGAAGTTATGTCCATCATTGCAGCTTGATCACTAAATAAGAAAATCATTAGAGAAGTAAGAGATAAAGATGATAAACTGATCATACTATGTTAGCTTTAGATTATTGACTTCACCATTTACCCGCTACTTTTTAAGTTTAAAATTATGGATTCTGATTGATTCCATTGTAAATACTACAATTCTAAAAACAGACACATTGCAGCAGTTATTTCATACTGATGTTCAACAAATCAACAATCAAAATGGAGGATATCATAAAACTACAGATGGCTGAAAATGTGAACTGAAATCAGAATCAAATGAAATAAATACAGTTCATGGGGATGTTTTAGCAATAAAACATATGTGATGTCAGAATGCCTCTAGCATTACCTTCATAAAATTGTAGCTTTCATCTGAAAAGTTAACATATAATTCAATTTTCATGTACTTGTTTCATTAGTGAATATCAAGATACCCAATAAGATATTTTGTGATAATTGAATAAAAAATTAGCATCTACATAAACAAAATTAACAAAATATTTAAACCACATCTCAATTCGCTCACCTTGCTAGGCTTCATCCAGAAACCAACTTTAAGATAATGCAGATGGAGTTGAGAATTATAAGAGGAACTCTTAGGTACTGAATCGCATATATGAGACCTAAAACCTGGCCCTTGAATGTTTTTGTCCTGTTGCCGGAAAAATCTGATAAGCCCCATCCTCTAGGTGCAAGAAAGCGGTCATCATTTAGTATTGCTAGTGAATTTGCAAGCAGCAAGAACCCCTCAACTAATGTCCACAAACCCATTTCCCTGCATTGCAAGGAAATCCAACCCAAGTCACAAATAAGTTCAAGTCATTTTCTGAGATCTTTCATATACCGTTCAACTATTAACATCAGTAGAGAACAACAAATCACTATGACAAATCACAAGAAGCTTCCTAATGAAAGGCTGGTGTAGATCACCGATGAAGCACATCCTCATAAATCATCTCAGTATAGGGGTCATAATAAGTTCTTAAAAGCAAGGCGGGCTTAATTTGAATTCATCAAAATAAATACAGTTCTTCAATATTCTTTAAATTAAAACATCATTAATGAATTATGGAAGATATACGAAGGGTATTTCATGCTTTACAAATCACAGAAAACTATGCACTGGCTACTCAGAATGAAGATCAAGTTCATTGAAGAGCATCTACTAAAGCATATAACTGTTAGAAACAACATATGAAGTCGTGCATAAATTGTAGCAACACTGACACCAGTAGTTCCTTCAATTGACACAATATGATTAACTTAGAATTGCCCATGGTCATTCATGCAGCTGATGTTTGGAGGACAAAGAAATTGTTAATCAAAAGCCATAACCATGAAATTTACTAGCGGCACCATACAAGTGTCTCACAGGACCAAATTCCAGCCTCTCTAACACCATTTTTACATTCATATTGCCTCATCTTTGGTGAAGTAATGTTGTTATGACTGTTGATGGAAAATTATTTATAAGTATCAAATTGACATGCAGTTTGTTGCCCAAGGATCTGATCCAGTAGATAACACTATCTGATTATATAGATAATATAAGGCAACAACGATTTCAATGTTTTAAATAGCATTTGCAGCATCGGAGACTCCAAAACCTGTAAGTTTCGGACAATTACAGGCAAATTGGGCCATAATTGCAGTCGTGATATGATTTCGCCAACTCCCAAAACATTAACATATCAGCAATAGACCAAAATTTAAAATCCGGTGTGACGCTTCTTTGCCAGAGAACTAACAGACTAGTTACTGCCAATATGGTTGATATCAAATTCCCCAAATCATTCCATAACATTACAATATTAGATTGCAGAAAATATGGACGCAGATTTTAAAATCTTCAAATAGAAGAAATTCGATTTCAATTTTAGGTATAAATTCTACAAACAACTTAACGGTATCTTTAATGCAAATCACACACTTCAGAGTTCAAACAGATTGAGACAACAAAGGAACTCAGATCAAATAACAAAAAAAATGAATCTAATCCACAAGCTCTCAAACTTCACAAAACATTAACTAAGAAATAGTACGGAATCTTAGATCTGCCAACAAATTCCACAAGCTAAAGAGGCATCTATCACTTTGACTGAAAACGGGAAAAGGTATAAAATATCATAAAAAGAAGAAGAAGAGCACGCGGAAGAGGTAACCTGAATTCGGAGGCGGCGGAAACGTGACGGTAGAAGGCGTTGCCGGTGACGGTGGAGGTGTCGACGTGGACGGTTGAGTGAGAAGACAACGAAGGATATAAAAGTTGACGAGATTCACATTAAAACCCAATACGCTCGTTGAACCGCACCGTTTTATACATTAACATTTTAAAATTAGTTATTCGTTAATATGGTAAACGAAGGATTTATTGAAATAGGAATAGGCAAAACGGATTTATTCGTTAAGTGTGTGTATATAAATGAGCATGTTTAATAAATAATATGAATTATTTAATGTTACTAATACAATATAATATAAAGTAACCTATATAAAAAATCTGGTAAAATATGAGTTATAAAATTAGTAGAGAAGGGTATAATCAAAACGGGTTTGTTGAAGCCAATTTTCATTTAATAGATGGGATTTGTTGAAGTTCTCAATTTGACTCTTTTTAACTTGCTAAGTTTAATATGGATTTTATAAAATGTTTTCTCTTCGTACACTATTACTACTAGGGTGTCGACAGACATTTCGTGTCTGACGTTTGTCGACCCGTATTCATATTTTATTGTATTAAGTATTCAATTTTTACATATTTTATTTTATACAATTAGAATGTTTTTGTATTAAGAGCATTTTATGTTAAAAAATATATTTATTACAATTCAATTTAAGGTGAGATAGAAGATTAATATGTTAATGTTAAT